AAAGGGCTATTAATCAAACTCCTGTCATATACGCTTATAAACTTCAACTGAACTCAAAAGTCGTTAATCTAAACAAAAGTCAAACGGCGTGGAAACAGAATGCAAAGACAAATCGCTTTCATAACACATTACTCCTCCGGCAAAAAGACGGGGAAAAGACTAACACGATATACACGACTGAGTTACATATAATCCTGTTAATCATGAACAAAAGCTTGCGATATCAAACAATACGTATATAAGCGCACCAAACTCTCATCTCAAAAAGACATTAAAAAACGTTACAAAGGTGCTCTAAACTCAAAAAGCGTCAGAAGTATTCCGGAAAACAACACATAAACAAAAACAACTCTTAAAACGTCGGTATCTCTGTACTCGACAAATCTCAAAACTCTGAAAAACTCATTGGGGCATTACTTTCCCCATCATAATCCGTACTCATAAACTCATTAAAACTCCATAAAACATCACAAAACTCATAACACTGTGTTGCAAATACTCGTCCACTGAAGCGCGCTTAAATCGTTATAAAGGACCTCGAACGTCACCAAATATCAGTTCAAAACAAAAATCTGGGCGCTTACACACATACAATTCAACATCACAAAAAAAAAACGGTAAAAACAATAGAAAAAGCAAGCAATACATTACATTACTGAGCAATAGGGTTAGGGTTCTGGAAAAGAGTTCAACGTCCTGAGTTACACAGTGTCAGTTACAGTGTCCAGCGAGCAGTTCTCTAAGCAATACACAGATAGCTAAAGTCAAAGTCTATAAGCGTCTCCTCTCTTGTCGCGTTATTCCGGGTCGTTCTTTATCTTCATCTTGTCCTTAATGTCGCTCAATTCTTAATTATACAGTCCTATCCGGTACTCATCCTTCATAAGGGGTTCAGAGGTCTTCAGCTCTTCTGCGTCGTTCATCGGTGCCATACTGTTAACGGTGTTAGTCGTCAAGCGCGGTTTCCGAGTCGTCTCTGCCATGGAGCTGGTTAGTTCGGTTCGCAAGAAAGACACATCTTCGCCATTCACTTTTCTTCACAGGATGTCAATGTGCGTAAAACGCAATGCCCAGGGTTCTCACACCACGTATCAGGGGGAAATTCTTCTCCACAGGGGTCTCCACACTGTCGGGGGGAATCTCGTCTCGTCTCTCTATCTCGTCCCCTTGAGGTACGGGATCGGGAAAGTCACTTTAACTTTACAGTCAAATAAGACACACACAACGAAATACGTTTCAGCTCTCGTCTTAGTCGATCTTTTGGAGCACTCTATAAGACACAGCGCCCTGGGGAAAAGTCCCCAAGACTCTCTTAAGGCTGAACCAAGACTCGCCCAAGACTGGACTGCGTCAAGGCTCGCCCCAAGACTCTCTCGGACTCTCAGACTGTGTGGGGTATAATAATACGCTTCAGTTGAACTTGATGGCAGAATAAACAGTCAATGTGGATGCAAAACACGGTATGGTTTATTGCTGGATAAACTGGCATAGAAACATGTAACACATGAATAAGGAGCCCCGAAACTCCGAAACTAGCCCTTTATATAGGTGCGAATCGAACGTGAGAGAAAACACGTAAGCGGGAAATACAAAATGAAGTACGCGGGAGAAAAAGATACAATACAGAGTAAAATGATTGGCTGAAATTAAATGATTCTAATTGGTCGAGAATTACTCAGAGGAATCCTTCATGCGAAAGGTAAACGAATTAACTATAGCGAAATGACATGTAATAATAATATTAGCAATATGAAAACGAATACAAATATATATTATGAATCTCCGACAGACTGCGTCTATCGTAGAGTATTCGCCAAGACCAACTCAAACTCTCTTTATTCATTTTCAAAACTCTAACCAATTACAAAGCAGTAAAAAGACTCTAAGGCGTAACCTTCAATCATAAAGCCAATCAAACTAAGTACTGAATACGTCATATCCTTTGATTAATCGTTCACTACATTAATAACTACGGATGTCAGAATAGCGACGGTATCTTGTAATTAGTTCCAAATCACTGAGCCAAGTTCCGTCCAAAACTTCAAATAGGCCTACACGATGACAGACATAACACAGCAATTCGCTAATAATCAGTTAATTAAGTCGGTCAACAGATACGCAAAAACAAATTCATGACATTTGAACCATCACACCTGTACTATACCAATTATGGTAATATTACGTTGCGTGTGACAGACTTTGACTGTTACACATCAACGAGTACAAACTGAGTTACCAAGCTTTGATTTGGCATTTTTAGGTGATTGGAAGGTATCGAAGGAGTCACCTCATAAGTCTTGTGATTTCCATTTGAAGAGCGCGTTGAATTGTGGGAAATCAATGTTCATCAACACAAATGTCGCAAAAACAAACTATGATATTATTTTAATCATATTGTATGAACACTATATACTGTGAGTATAAGCTTACCAAATTTTTAAACTTTACTTATTTTCCAACTTACTACAGGCCCCTTCAAGTTAGCTGGCCGCCCCACGTTACAACGTTAATTTTCCAACTTACTACATGCTTCCAACTTTACTTGCTTTTCAAACTTTTACAGGCTCAGAGTTGGCGCTATATTACTGATTTGCATACATTTGCTTGATTGTCGTGAACCTTTCCCATATCCACGGTGCTGATTAGCATATATTTGCATAATATCATATCGTGCTGGCTACATTGCCTATCTGTTAACAAGACAATTTGTGAAACAGTTATTCATACTACAGCATTTTATCAGTAAACTAGATAGTCGCCATTCATTACTATACGAACTTCCAGAAAACAGAATCAACTTTTTACAGCATATTCAATACTAGTATACAGCTGCTAGAATCGTAACAAGTTCCAGAAAGTCTGCTCATAAAACTGCAGTTCTGCAGCCTCATCATCATTGGCTGCCAGGTCGTTACACTATTAACTACTAAAGCACATTCCCCCATAGACTAGGGGGAGTGTGACTAAATCATTCTATTGACTTGCGTCTTAAATGGTCTAAACTCAAGCTAATTTTAAGATATCATTCAGACAAATTCACCAAGTCGTGCTCTTAGATCTGCTCATAAGAAGCTTCTATGAGGTGCAAAAGTTATCGCATGATGAGCGTATATTTTCTCATGCTGAGCTCGACTTTAGACCACTGGAAGAACCAAGACTCATTTTCAAAAAAACATTTACTGTGGCTTAGCTACGTCGCCCTTGAATGTAGCATTGTTACATGCACTGGTCTTGTATAAATATGTTTGAATCATTGATTGATTGATTAATTGATTCACACCGAGTAGAAACGTTGCGTGGTACGAAACTAGCATACTGTTTGGCAACCATGTTAATTAATACACAGACATCGAAACAAGAGCACACACATATTACAAGTAAAAGATATAGGACCTAATAGACGCATATAGTAACCCCGGACTACAAGGTGTATTGGTTTAAAAAAGAATATTAGTAATATTTCCAAAACAACAATATACATGTAGTTTTATTGACGTGAATTGTAACAAATACAGTAACCTTTTACATTATTGTCCACAATAGGGTCCCCATAAAATAAATTATTCACATAATTCTGTAGACAACCTTACAATTTCGTGCACACTGAACATTATATGTGTTAACACTGACAGTGAACCCCTGATACATATTATGCAAGTTTGTCACCACCACTACGGTGGTGAATAGAGTCACTGATACATATTATGCAAGTTTGTCGCCACCACTACGGTGGTGAATAGAGTCACTGATACATATTATGCAAGTTTGTCGCCACCACTACGGTGGTGAATAGAGTCACTGATACATATTATGCAAGTTTGTCGCCACCACTACGGTGGTGAATAGAGTCACTGATACATATTATGCAAGTTTGTCGCCACCACTACGGTGGTGAATAGAGTCACTGATACATATTATGCAAGTTTGTCGCCACCACTGCGGCGGTGAATAGAGTCACTGATACATAATCGTAGCCTGTACAGACCATACAAAAGAAAGTGAGCAAGTGGTATCAAAACGAACATCATACCACCGAATGCTCCAACTGCCATCCCGGGATTTGTCTTCCAGTTGACAATTTTGTAAAGATACACTTCCCCTTCCGGATTCAACCCTCCGCATGCGTAATATATGTATGTGAAAAAACCATATAAGGCGAGGAATATCATAGGATAGATGACGTGTAGCACACGAATCGGTGACGCAATCACAAAGAGATCAAATAAAATTAGAAACGCGTTGACGCCGTGCACGTGCACGTTGAAGGGGTGGATTTTGGCTGTCGCTGGGTCATAATCAATTGCCCAGAACAACAACACAATTGTCAATCCAGAAGCAAATGCAATGTTTTGAATGAACCAGTTGAGTCTCATATACCAAGGCAAAGGTAGACGTAGAGTTTCGGACACATCGTTGGAAGATGCTCCTCGTTCAGCCATCTCAATATGGTCAATTGCAGTATCTGTAAAAACAAATGTGAAAAATATTATTAACTTATTTATTAGATTCACAAGGAAAGAAGGTATACACAGTCTCTGAGAGAAATGGTTACAACTGTAAAAACAAAATTAGAAGAAAAAACATCGAGATAAAATGAAGCAAAAAAGCAAAACCAAAAGAAGCAAAATACTAGAGGGTTTGCTGTCCTATTCCCATATCTTTATTAACTGTGTGCTACACGAGTAATTATTTTGTATTGTTATTAAAAGGGACACTGCATTGTTTTTCTTTTGTGCACCTGTCAAATGCATTTATCCTGTTTTTGGCAACTTCAAGTAGAATTTCTCGCATGTCAGCGTAGCTCAGTGCTAAAAATAAAATTTATCTTCAATACCGTCCTTGTAACACATCCTGTTATTGAGCGGGATGCGCTTATGGCAGATTCATTTTTAAGCTCTTCTTTCTTCATGTCCTTCTTTAAATTTGCCATTTGCACTAACAGCTTAATTAACCAAGACAATGTTGTCTCATTGTTTAAGCATCTATTTGATTTATGGATCATTGACCCTGTTTGTTTCTGTATTTTCAGTAAGCATCCACATTTTAACAAACAATGGCAAGACATTCTGTAGATATGTTTGTTTTTTCTAGAAAGTATCACAATGTCGTCAGCGTAAAGTAGACAACTAACAGACGAGGTCTCTGTAACTGGAGGATCACACATTCCTTGGCTAAAGCTGCTATGTCGGACTCAGATTACTGCCCCGTTTAAAGGAAAGGTCAATCCTGTCAATATTGATAGCCACATAGCTGCAGCTATGCATAGTTTTTGAAATAATGAAAAAAATGATTAATTTGCTCTTTTGCTTCTTTAACTTTATAATTAACATCATAAAGCATGTTTTAGATAATTTTATACATTTTTCCAGTAATACCAAACTTAAGTAATTTACGATATAAAACATGCCAAACACTATCAAATGCTTTTCGAATGTCAACGAAACAGGCATATAGCTTGTTAGTAGTTTTAGTATTTTATTTATTTTTGTTTTCATGATTATTACTGTCTTTGTCTTTTTACTGTTTTTTTTTATATTTACTAACCAGCGTTTATAAAAATAAAAGATTGCCAGTTGTCCAACATGCCCAACACAGAACTGCGTTCAGTAGACTACCGAATATGAATACCACACCTCCGAACTTCACCGAATACGAATACTGCACCTCCGAACACATCCGAATACGAATGCTACACCCTTGGACTCTGCCGAATACGAATACTACACCCCGAACTCATCCGAATACGAATACTACAACTCCACACCCAGCCGAATACGAATACCACGCCTCTGAATACTACCTCCTCATAACTATACCGAACATGAGTGACGATCATGACCCACTACCGAACAATATATATATTACCAGTAGCTGGCCGTGTTAATTACAATTCACACTACAATACTAGACTCAGTACATGACTCAATTTCCTACCTTTCTTGCCATATGCATGGTATACTACAGCTGACACGAGAGCAGTGAAAAAGTACAGCGTTAACATGCAGTAACCCCAATGCGATGCATATACGAAAAACACGTATGTCGGTCTTTCGTTGCTGTAATAAGGCGGTCCATAGTTAACGATACACAGGATATTCCAAATAAGCTGGTATAAAAATATACACAGCCGATAGAAGAGATAGGTTCCTGGTAGACCCAGCCATCGCCACTGAAAATCAAGAAAACTATTATTACACCTG